CAAAAATGAAGTATATTACCAAGTAACCCAGTGAGAACTGCTTGCCTATCATTTTAGTTGAAAATACAAGAAGTTTTATTCCAAGCAAGCATCGCAAGCCCGCTAGGTTAATTTCTGCTGCTTGCTTGGAATAAAATTTCTTGTATTTTATATTAAAATGATAGGCAAGCAATTCTGTTAAAAGCACTGGCACTGAACGTTTCGCTTCATTCAGTCTATTTTGCAATTTTTTTAAAATGATGTCAATCCCGAAAATCCCGGGATTAGGAAAACTTAATCCCGAAAATTTTGGGACTGAAAAGTGGTCGGGATCCCGGGATCCCGATTTTCGAGATCCCGGGATCAAATCCTCTACTCACAACATAACGTCGACTCTTATCCTGGTAATGAGTATCTCGAAAATGATCTTCACATTCTTGATCTAACTTAGACATTCTCCTTATCTCTGGGACAGAATCCAATGCCCAAAATTTCTCAACTAATTCTTTAGTGGTCAATTGAATATTATTCACAATGTAGGCTAATTTATGGTATTGAGAAAGACAATTCCCGCAATAATCCATCCGAGTTTGGTGCAAACAGCAAACGGCAGTGCCTCCTTTCTCCGGATTATATCCTTTAACGTTGTAAAGAAAATATTAACACCCAGTAGAATGGCCACTGGTCTTGTTTCAAAAAAGAATGGATCAGCCAGAACTAGATCATTAAAAATGTTCAGAAAATGTGGAGGGAGAGGAACATTATGAACATCCGACGTTATTTTTTTAATCACGAATGCTTTTGTATTAAATTTCGAGTCTGAACTAAAATGTGAGGTAAAGTTCAACTCTATTTCACCAACAGTCACAGCATTGCAAGATCCCAAGCAAGAAATCTGAACATTAGCACTGCTTTTCGTCAAACATGGTTTATTGACACAGTCTTCAGTTATAAAGGATGCCTCAGAACCGCTATCCAACAAAGCTCAATAAGTTACGAAATTTCCACGAGTCGCTTACCTTGACTATAGCAGTACAAAGTAAAACCTGTTTAGTTCCTTTAAGACCTACTCCGGTTACACTCGAAAAATCAAAAAGTCCAGCACAAGTAGTGGTACTGTAGTTTGATTCGATAAATCATATGGCATCGATTGGAAGGTAGGAGCATCAGTCAAGGGTGGACTAAATACCTTTCCCGGTGTCAAAGGTGAAAACACTTCAGATTCCCTATCGATATGTAACATAGTATGATGTAATCTACCACATATTCTGCATCTACTTAAACTCATGCAATTTTTAGCTCGGTGTCGAGCAGTAAGGCAATTAAAGCATAGTCTATTCTTTTTTACCATATCTATCCTTTTCTGAGTGCTCAACTGCGTGAACCTTGAACACTTAGATAATGGGCGCCCATTCTTACAAAGAAAGCAAGTATTACCACCAGATAACAACGATGAATAAGAACCACTTCTCTATTCCTTAGGTGGCAACTTGATGGCTCGAAGGGTTCTCGCATAATCCTTCCAGAAGGAAAGCAAGCCTAACTCATCTTTCTTTAATTAAGTAACCAGTTCACGTTTATTAGAAGATCGCTCCCGTAAGAGTTCCATTGCAGTTTCATAGTTAGAATCCAATATCGGAAGTGACTGGATAATCTTCAACGTCTACAGGATGATTTTAAATATTGCAATTTCTGACAATTTGACAGATTAGAATTAATGTCCACACTAGCCTTAAATAGATCCTGAAACGATAACCAGTCCTCAACATTTTTACTAAAGGTCGGAAGAGACAATTTCGGAAGTCTTACAATCGGTGGTTAAATTTTACATACGTATACCGTATGGCGGCAATTCGTACTAGTTATTGATACGTGTGTTCAAGAACTTCCGTAAATCAATAACTAACGTGAATCAATAAGTAGTGACGTTTGGCACACGGCAGCTCCCCTCCCGGAAGAAGCAGTCGCAACCGCCGCCATGACAGTATACCTATGTAAAATCTAACCCTTTTTCGTTAACGCACACTTAAGACCCTCCACGATAACAAGTAATAATAAAAGGCCAACTCACTTGCTCGAGCGTAGTAAATCCTGTTTCTGCGGAGTTAATCCAGAAAATGTGAACACCATTGCACGTAGTAGAAATTTCAAAGTTTTCAATCCAGCAGAAACCTCTGCACATCCATTACATTATCCCGCTGGACGGACCAAATGTTTACGTTGAAAATGGACTGTATATGAAATCACAATAATTGTACGACAAAACGATCTTTATTGGTTTAAACTCTCTTAAATCACTCAGGCAATACGGTACATTAAACAAGATGGCGACAACGACAGACGACTCATTGAAAAGCGCGCGAAAAAGCGCCCTCTCACAATAAAAACAAAATAAAAAATTTCCGAATAATAAAAATAAATAATAGTTTACACAATCTTTATACCACTTTCTCTTTGATGCATATGCATTATTTTGATTTATTTATTTCAAATTTGTATACAAATTTAAAAAATAACGGCATTAGTATGATTTCATAATATAAAAAACGTGTTATAGATACTGATTTTCTATTCCGATTGCCTTCTTGTGATACTAAACATTAGAATATTATCAAAGTCAAAATATCGTGTCCTATCGATATATTGTGTCCTACTAAATTATTATCCTTATCCTACCAGTCGGAACCCGTTGGATATCATAATCTTTTTCCTCAAGAATATTTAAAGACATAAAAAGGTATGGAACAAATTTTTGTAAACTCTCTCTTGGCCCTTCGCGTTTTAGGGACTCCGAATTTCCCCTCGATAAATGTTATTGTACCGTCTATGTATATAACTAATAAATCGTTGTTTCTTTGTTAAATTGGAGTCCTCTTTTACTCTTATATCGCGTGTCACCTTACCGACGGCACTCCTCCCTCCTCCACTCGACCCGAACCCGAACCATTAAATCCCGTTACAGCGGGAAAAAGAACATTTTTTAAGCCATCTTGACAGTGAGCAGGTTTAACGACCTGTCGCCGGAAAGGGAGACCTCCAACCTCCCCGGCGGTTCACATTTGTTTATTGTTTTATCTTCCATTTTTACACTGGAGTCTACTTTCATCTGTAACTTTCATCTGTACACTTTATAATCTTTGAATGTACTGTACTTGGATTTAAGTACAGAACCAGAGCCAGCACCTCTTTATAAACAGAAGTATATAAGTCAGATTTCTACAAAACATGCAATTTTTTTGTATGCATAGATGCATAGTTTGCAATCTCAAAACAATATACTTGGATCTAATCCAATGCATTATAGACATTTAATCGTACTTAAAATGCACTGGAGTTTATGGATATAGGCTAAACCATAATATCTAGAAACTTCAAGTGCATTGTAACCATGAATATAAATTTTGAAGCCATCCAGTAATTACGTGTATTATTGAGCCACTTTTGACTCCCCCTTTTCTGTCGTATACAAGAATATACTTTTGGCAAGCTCCCTGCCCTTTAATTACTCTCATACTCCCTGAAAGTTCAAGTAGACTATGCCTCGAACCCAACATATATAGGCTAATAATGTACTTTTGCGACTTCTTCCCCTTTAATCGGTATGCGTAATTAATGGTTTAATTTGACGGGATACGGCAATGTAACACCTGGACGATCTGTCAAAGAGGGTGCCTCTCAGGAGGACTTTCTATAGGAAAATGGCTCGTATTTAATTGTTAGCCACGTGAAGAAAACTCTGAAACTTCACGGAGTTGAGCAAAAACTCGTAACCAACCAGTGTTTAGTGATTTTATCCACAGTAACTGGTTGGCCTTCAATCAGGTCCACCAGTTACTATAGTTAATTGAAAATCGTGTGGTTTCTATCCAATATTACAAAAAAAAAATGAAGGCCCTTTGGTTTATATCCACGATTGCAAGAATCGTCCAACATCAAACGATACATAAAGCATGGTTTATAAAGGAAACAAACCATATTCAAGAGTTCTAAGTGAACTTATGGCCCTGTACAACATTAATTTGAAACAAACGGGGCTATAATAAATACTTTGTGACTTAACTATGTGAAAATGGCTCCCTTTTTCAAACTTCAACACTTCAAACAGGTTGATATAGTATATAGGCACACGCATGCAATACGGCTGTTTAGTGCATATTCATTCTAAAATCAAGTATATAACAACAAAAGCTGAGAAATATTTAGCAAATAGCGAGAAATAATGCAATACATAAATAAATAATAGACGATTTTAAAGTTAAAACCGATAACTTTCAATTTATTTATCTAACATACAAACAGCGATAATGATAAATTTAAAAATAAAACATTTAAAATAATATAATTATAATAAATTATACACAAAAATTTACAAGAATATAGAATATATATATTTTTTCTATAATTCGATGGAACAAACGCATAAGCAAATAGTATAAAAATATTTTCTACGATTACGTATCGATGTAGTAATTCATATTACAATAACTTATATTAAGAGATCACACTTTAATTAATTAATTAATTACAATTATGGCAGCAAATTAACTCGTTTTTATTAATAATAATTATTATCAAGCTCTGCGATATCTTCTCCCGTTTGTTTTACCATTTAAGAAATGACGTTTTGCCCATACGCCCACTATGAAATTTTCAATTTCGCATTCGTTTTCTCCTCGAATAATTCGAAAATATCCATTTTCTCCCCAACGTTCTCCCCAAGAATTTGCGCACAACTGAAAATTAAAGTAAAAAAAAAACATTAATGTAATGCAAATGTAAAAATGTAAAGCTTTCATTTACGCTTAGATAAATGAAAGTATTGTAATTCTAACAATTATAATTATGTAAATTGAACAGAACTTTTGATCAAATTATAATGGAAATTAATGCACGTGTTCTTAAATAAAGGAAGAGGCAGAGTAACAATAAGGATTATGAGAATTGTTTTCTGGGTAACTTGAAATAATTCAATTACGACTTCGTTCGATCTAATGTCCGTTTTAATCCTTTCTAGAAACATATATTAAAAAAATTATAATATAAGTAGAAAAGTAGATTTACAGAAGGGCATTAAGTGTAGTAACTTAAAAAACAAATTTAATAATTACGTATGTAAGGTACTTCTTTCGTATTCTAAATCTACAATTCTCGAATGAGAAATGTTCTTAATAAGTCTGAATTAACGAGAAGCAGTCATACAATACTATAAATATATTTTTATACGCCTCACTTATCTAGGAAAGCAATCTCAAAGTAGTAAGAAATTGTCCTTATTATGCATTCTACATAATTATCAGAAAGGAAAAGAAGAAGATATAAGAGAGAGAAGAGGAAGAAGGGAAGATATAAGAGAAAACAAGAGGGAAAAGGGGAAGAAGTGAAGACAGAACAATCATTTAACATTAAAGAATAATTAAAACACAAAATTTGAATGGCTTAACGTACAAAATAAAACATTTGAATATTTAATGAAAATAAATTCAATTGTTACTTACCCAATACTTTGTATTTCTTTCTACACCCCATCTAAATTACGAAAAACAAAGCATTAGACTACGCATACAAACTAATATTATAAAATTTCGAGTAAAGTTTTATACGTCTCACCCGATAATTCTGACAGAATGCCATCCGCTTCTTCTATATTTTGAAGGTAAATACTTAGTAACGGGGGTATGGCGATAAATACCGTGTTTATAAAGGAAAAAGTCTTCTTTAACCTCGAACGTGGCTGAATATTTAATAAATTTATATTCATAAAATGGAAATATTACAGAAAAAAAATGTATTAAAATGTACAATTTATAATAATAAAAATAAAGAGGGAGATTATCCCCCTGTAATTCGAAGAATGAGTAAATGAACTGCTTAACGCCAGCCAATAAAATTTAAGAAAAATCCAAATAAATTATATATTTTACCCTGTACTGGTCCGTTATCGTGAATCTCTTTCATGATGTCTCTTTCCTAAAAATAGAAAATCGTAATTATTGAAAATGTTAGCAGCGAAGGGAAGAACAGTTACAAATTTACGTTACATTTGGTGCAACTCTGTAAGATGGCGTAAAATAATGAACGATGTCTTCATTTCCGCTCGGGCATTTCACTTTACCGTTTCCATTTTTCCAATTTTTAGCTCTACATTTTCCTTCTTCGTCCGTAATCCAACTTTCGTAGGGATAACAAGATTCGGTAGCCACGCTGAAAATTTTCTAGCGATTTTTAGAGAATCCCTCCATATTATTACGAAATTTAAACCGTTTTATGTCATGGTACATACCCTTTTTTCCTAAGATACCACCAGGCACGGTCTAAATGACCACCGTGGCAACCTCTTTGACCACGGTGCTGACAAGAAATTAAATGTTGAGGCGATAAAGATATCTTCTCTCTTCCTTGAGATTCGATCGCTAATCTATCTGAAGCCAAACCTAAAAGAATTTCGAATTTGAAGAAAAAAGTCAAAAATTTTTGTGAATTTTTTGCTACATTTCCTAATATTTATCGCTTACTGGTGGTAGAAAAGGCCCAGGAAGAGCCACAGTCTCCTTGATCGCGAACGGGTTGAATTAAGTTAGGCCATTTATGACGAGAATCAAAGTTTTCTGGGAGTCTTTCGGATTTATTAAGGTGAATTTCTGTCATTTCTAAAGTCTAGAATTTAATAAACCATTATTTATTATTTTATTTTTTGAATTTTATTTTAATTATTTCGAAATCTTCTCACCGTTCTGGTGGGTCGAAATGTCCCTAATCTGTATCGTATACCTTCGTTTAATGTTTTACCCCATAGGAAAGTATAATTCGATGCCGTCCAACTGTAATCGTAATCGCATTTAACTAATCTAAATTAAATTAATTTTCATACCACGTGCCAAAAAAGTGTACTCACCCATAATTTCCACGATTGATGGCATCGACCAGTTCCGTTCGTATCAAACACACGTTATCGTCGCAGCCAAATTCGAATTTGTTGTGACCTTTATACTGACATTTACTAAATTTAAATAATGTTAAGTATGAAAATCAAAGCATAAGGTGTTTTCAACTAAAAGTTACAGTCATTGTTTCCCCCAATCACTTCAATGAGGATGGCTATGTCACTAGGTATCGACGAAGTTATTTACGTGTATGAAGTTATAAATGTATGATACGGTATGCTTAGTACTTTACGATACGTCAGTTTGGGAGGCCTTTTTTAATATAAGCCTGTATCGTATTGCGAGAGGCCTAGGATCTCAGCTAACATTGTATTTCAGGTACGAACCATTCGTAAATGAAATTCGACATGTTTAATCCCCACCTTCCTCATTGGCACTTTATGGCAAAGCTTCCTGGCAAATGATGGAACAATGGTTGCCACCACCCCCACAAAGTCATTGCATTATTAAATTGCATTACCTTTAATGAAAATTTTACTTTCAGCTACACGTTGCCAGCAAGTTATTTCAATAGGTTTGTAAGATGATGTTCTATTAATACTATGAAATGTTAGAGACATTGTCCTGCTATGTTTACGTCATCGACATCAGTGTTCTAAACAAATTTAAAACTTGTTTTCCTTTAGCTGTAGTGTACAGATTTAGAAATCATTATCGAGTCTGGCTTCTCTATTTAATATACTTTAAAAATAGACTTTTCTTTCAAAAACATTCAATAAACAAGTGTATATAATGAATAACAGCCTAATTTGTAAATACAGTAGTGCGCTTGGTCTCAGTCCTGTGCCCGAGTAGTGTGCTGTTCTATGTACTGTACTGTATATACAAAATTACCACGTATAACTCAACGATCTCGGAAACAAAGACGACCTATGACTTCATAGAAACAACTCGACATAAAGCCCTGAACTAGCGTATAGATTTGTGAATTTCGCCCTTAAAAGTGCCAGGCCTCAACTGTTTGATGAAGAACATTTTGTAAACAATACATAAAAGTGAAAAGAACTGTTTTCTACGTGATTAAATTTTATAAAATAACGATTTTATTTTAACTAAAATTAAATTATTTAAAGAAATATTTAAATAAAATACTGTACGTACCATTTATTACAGTTCTTCAGATACCAATGGCCAACTTCATAGAACTTTCCGTGATGGTTGCAACCTGCGCCGTTATAAAAGATGAAAATTATACATTATAAATTTGTCAGTTGTTTTAATAATTTGACTTTACCTGGTCTAACTATTTGTTGGGGAGGATCGATGCGTATACCAAGACAATGGGGAAAATAATCGGGGCAGCAGTCCATACCGACGCTTCTGTTGCAAAATTTATCACAATAGCAAAGAGTTCCTATAATTGGAAGGGCACACGAATCATCCCTTCCGGGGCAACAATCCATAGGTTTTCTCATTCTACAATAATCTCCTGGCAAATCTTTAAAGCTGTAATCGCACAGAACACAAACCACGAAGGTTGCAAAGAGTAATTTCCTGAAGAGATTCATGTCGATTGAGGCTCGTTCGCTTTCTAGAAGATAAAAATAAGATTTTAACGCATTCCACCCCCGTCAAGTAACTGTCCAATTAACAACGAAAGTAGCAACGTGCGATATTTGTTTATCTATCGTAAGGACACTTTCGACAAATGATTGATAGCGGTCGTGAAATGAACGGCGATAGCAGCAACAGTCGACGATGATAATTTCTATCAACAAGCATTTAAAACTTTAAAGAATCTTCTAACAATTATTTTAATGTCGAATTTATTAAAAGACGAGTAGGAAACAGTAAAATTCAAGGTTAAATTTTAATTGGAGAAGGTTTTAAAGTGTGTAGTTCGTAAGCGCGATACAATCTTCCAGTTGAAAACCGAATCGTTGCAACGCTACCGACCTAAATAGAATCAAAGAAATACTTTAAAATACAAACTTTAAAGACGAATTTAATGATTGTATTAAGTGTATTTCAAAATAATTTACGTAAATAATTATGAAATATACTTCATCGAAATTAGAATTGACCTCATTTACTTAAGAAATTTACCAGATGATCTGTTAAGATCAAGAAGCTCGATTGGTGATAGGATTACAAATAAACTTTAGCAAGTTGTAAATCATGTTTGTATTTTTTATTTTAATCTATTTCCTTTGCCGTTTGTCGCGAGACATTAAAATTTACTTAACGTAAATGTTTACTTTGTCCACCGCTGCGAAAATAAGTTTATTTATGTATCATATTTTGAGAAATTGGAGCGAATCCATTGCGTGTTTTCTCTTACACAAAGCCTGGAAAATTGTAGATTTTTAGCACAAAAACTTTATTAACATCTTAAAGATTAATTTCATTTATTAAATAAATATATTTTACAACTATTTAATAAAAAAACTAAGCCATTTTATCATTATTTACATGTATAAAAGAGCGTGTTTATACCAAGGCTCTTAACTTATTCCATAAAAATTCGGAGAGTAATTAAATTTTATGTATTTATATTACGTCTTAAAGTGGAATTATTGTTTAAAATATTAATTTCAAACTGGAGGTGAGTTATTAGAAGAGATTAAAACTCAGCTGGAGGATGTTTGACGGACTGACAAACTCCAAGGACAACAAAATTGGAATGGAACCAAACTCTCTTCCGGTACGTGTTGCCAGTTATAACGTCATCTTTGTTGTTATTGCTTTTTATATAACAACCAGAATAAACAATGATTAACCGCCTGAAATTTAATAAATAAGCTTGCATAGTTTCTATTATTGCTTATCCCACTCGCAATACTTGCAATAATCTACTATTAATTACTTGTTAGAGTAACACTCGCTTACACCAGTTGTTACCCACTTAACATACACAAAATAAAACAGTAACTACTCTGTTAAATATGTATTTAAGTATATTTATTGCTATACTTAAATACAATAAATTACTTAGTATAAGCTATATAACTATAAGTAACAATTGTCAGTACAATAACAGTTATGAGTTATACTAAACAGTAATGATAATTGTTAAACATGTACAGTAGTGTTTTATTTATATCATAAGATAATACATTTATATAAGAAATTAAGTATATAACAGTCATTTCTTAGCATAACTTAGGGCCTCGCATTACGAATTAATTGAGTAAAAGCACAGTTTTACATTTGCTGGAGGGGAAGGGCCTGTTATATATTGTAGCTTAAGGCCACAACGAGTCTAATTCAAGCCCCGTGTAAGACAATGTAGTAACAATGACCTTAGTTGGTTAAAAGGTCACTTAAGTAACATTTTACAATGAAGTTCACTATTTGTAACCATTATTACGAATTATATTTATCAATAAATATCTTAAAAAATAAGTTATATCATATAATAAAGAGCGAAAATATATTATAGGTTTATACTTTAGTACTTAAGAGCCGAAAATAAAATGAGTAAACAATTACCGTTTTATCGTCCTTCAAAGGTCAATACGTATGAAATTTTGCATAAATATTTACGTATATTTAACTGTTAATAATTAAATTTGTAAGTAACTAGTATTAAATGAGTAGAAGATAGAATTGTCAGATTTTTCGGCCTTCTAATAAAGTCTTGGCAGCGTAACTAGTTTGCGTAACCATTGAAAAACCTTCGCTAGTTTAGCAAGCCCCGATGGATATAGAACAAGATCTACATCAACAAACTTTCTATTGGTGACGACTAAATATAATCATCTATACTAATCATAATTAACTTTAATTTGCACCGATGTAAGTCCCACACACCGATTTAATTAAAATTTAAGCTCCTCTAATCCTGCCAATTTAACCTTTTATCCGCTTCTTAAGCTTAAAAAAATAAAAGGATTAATTAAAATTTTTCAAATTGAACAGTCGGTAATTAATTAAATTATAATATAATTAAGATGCGTAGGTGAATTTATAAACAATAACTCGGCAGTGTTTAATTTTATTAGCCTTGTAAAATTGTTTATATCGCCTCTCCTCTGATATCCATTACATAATTCACATCTATTAAAGTCTACTTTTAAGTAATTTACACAGTAATTCCGTGATGTTTTTATATGTAATTTATTGAAATATTCTATTTATTTAATATTTTATAAAGAAACAAAGTTACTTTCTGGCATTGCATTTCTGGATGATTGCCCGTGTTCTAATTCCAAACTCGAAGGACACATTTTCCATTCTCTTTTACGTGCTTCTTACCTGTTAGGATTCGAAAAAAAGAAATGTTTCTATTAATTTCTACGGCTAATTTAGGGCCTTATATGCTAATAAATCATTCTGGCATGAGTATTGATAATACGAATTATGTATTCGTTAACAGTTAAAGTTATAACTATGACCGGAAAAAAAATCTTTGGCATTTCTATGCGCCTTTTGACCCGTAGGTATTTAGATCCCTATGCCGACAATATACGAAAGGCCCTTCCTCCTCCGTATAATAATGGTTAATATGTATAAACCGTTTCTGTAAATAGAACGAGGCACCCGGTAAAGGCCCTACGGCTTGTTTAGCTCGCTTTAACCCGAAATTCTGATGTAAATTTGTTATAATGCCAAAAAATACCGCGACTCGAATTATAAACGGGGTTAAAAATTGTTTGTTTCTATAACCAAACTTTTCAATTCTCGACATTATTTTTTTTAATTTAATAAAAAGGTGGCCCAAAAATTAGTTAATTAACCGATGTAAAAACTAAACTATATAAAAACTTATAGGTTCTGCCGAAGGATTGGTATGGAATGCCCTCGCAAACAACATTCCGTAGTAGGGTTGTCGGATGTATTTACGCAAATATTAAAAATTGAATTGTCTATTATTTTATGTAATTAAAGTAAGAAGAAAACTCTCTTAAGCGAAATCTGTATACACAGTGTATACATAATTAATTAGAAAATCAGAAAAGTGCCATTAAAAGTCAGGAGAACGAGTAATTTTAACACAGGAACACAGGCAAGGGGAATGGTAAATGCGACCGGTAACACTTCATGCGCGAGAACCGACGAGGTAGAATATACTAGAGTGGCTGAAGCGACGCCATGTTTCAGGAAAATTGAATACACGTCTGCTATTTTTCTTTTAGTCTAGGGAAAGTGGCATTTGTGTTTTATAAAGATAACGAACTAGAAAATACTAATTCGAAGCTGGTAGCCTACTCGTCGTTGCCAACAAGAGCGCTGTAATCATGGTTACAGCCAATCTATGCAGTATATTCTGGTTCGTTGGCGAAAACACAGATAAAATGGTGGTGCCTCTCCGGCAATGCAGGAAGCAAGAGCGGTGTATTGTTTTCCGATTTTTTTTCGTCGATTGGTTACCTCAGAGCCCTACAAAAGTCCAAGAAAAAATTTCCAGCTTCTCCCTCGACATATTAAGTATATCAAATTTAGTTGAGATTTGCCCAATAATATTTTCTACAGATAGCTCTGAACATCTATTATTTCTTCTTTATTACTATATTATATTATATTATTATTATACAGTCGACCCCCCTATAACACGGTAGATACGTTCCGTTTTTTATGAAATTGATGTTTTAGGAGACCTTGCCAATCACAGCCTGACACGTGTGAAGTTTACGGACTACGGCTGTTTGAAAGGTTTTCTTCCATAAAATTAATCGATTCCTAGACTAGTTCGACTTAACATTTCCAAAACAGGTATAATTATTTGGGAATAATTCGTATAAACTATGCTATAAACAAAAAATTGTAGGATTACTTACCGAGTGTGCACAATTCGACATCGCCATTGCTTAAGCTTGTTTTCGTCGCGGAGCAGCACACCAAACGGCAGGTGCGATTTCTGATAAGTTATTTTTCTGCGAAAA